AAAATATGATACACAACCTGAACACATAATAAAGCAATAGACCTTTCAGCCCAATTCTATTTTTTCTGCATAATCCATCATATAAAATTGAAACACATGAAAAAGTCTCTTTTTAAAATTTGTTTTATTAGTTTTAGTCTTTAACTTTATGCATCAAGCAAAAATTAAATTATGTGCAACAGTGTCTGACTTGAAGACATTTGTTTAACCTTTAAACCTATTTTCTGCATATTCCAGCATATAAAATAATTTTTTGTGTTTACACTCCCTATTTCAAATAGATGCGATTAAATAACAGCAAAAAAGAAATAAAATCAAAGATTCAACAGCACTAAGTCCCGTCGCTCTTAAATCTATTTTCACCTGTTTAGCAGGAGTGGAGGTGGAGGTTTGCCTAATTTGAAGTTAAATTTTCACTGTAGAAACAAGTTTTCTTCCAATGGAGAGTGTACACCAGAAGATTTCTACAGATTCAAACTCAAAGTAATGTCAGTACTTCCAAGCTTAAAACGCTGCACGGTCATACTTTTTCCCGCCCTCTATTATTGATCTACACAAGCCTGTTGCTACCACGGCACAGACGTCGCATGCTTCTACGTCATTGTCATGACACACTATCATAAACAAATTCACGGTTTAGTAACGCAGCGTGCTTACGAGAACGTAACAGTAATGATTACTGTTACGTTCTCGTAAGCATGCTGAGTAATCTAATTACTCATTACTTGAAAAAAGGAATCGGATTACAGTAACGTGTTACTGCCCATTTTTGGTGGTGAGTAAACAGACAAATGCTTGGAGCAGTGAGTGTATCAAGGAGCATTATATACCTGTGTCTCCTGAACCGCTTCAGCTCCTGTTCTTTTTACTGTATATTTTTCTTAATAGAATTATATTTTTTCAAAGTCATTTTATCCCAAGCACAACCTAAAGAGCCAGCATGCAATTTAGCCACTTTGGCTTCAGTACAGAAGCCCTGCGGTAGTAAAGATATATCAGTCTGTGTTTGTGTTTCTGAAAAGAGAAGCTGAACTGAAATTGATATCATAGGTTTGGGTGTGTTAAAAATGAGGGCAATCATTCAGCTCAGTTTTCATTTTACCCCTGTATCGAACGTATTGGAATTTGTGTTGAATGCTAAAATGAATGAGCTTATCTCACTGAAAAGCCATTAGTGTTACAGATTGCATTGACTTTCACTCTAAAGCCTGCCAAAGCTTTTGTCTCTACTCAGCGGTGATTTAGCCTGCGAAGGCTTCTGCAACATATCTAAGCTATCATTGACATTGATTGGCCATATTTAGTATCAAGGGACTCAGCATTGTGTTTTTAATTTAATGTCTCACTTCTGATATTCTCATATGCAGTCAAATAAATGGCACCCTGTTGGAAGAAGCAGTTAAGCTTTATATTGTTAACTAGCACAGTGCTGTTGTTTGTGTCGGGAATCTTGGTAGTTAAAAAAAATCTTTCACTTCCTGTTCAGTCTTCCCCGTTGTACACTGGGTTATCAGGTGTTAGCTGGATGAACGTATTTTACATTGTTGAAAACATGCTGCTGTAAAGTCAGTCTAATTGAACAATAAAGCGCCGTAATCCCCCTGTGTGCATAATGATATAAGCTGCAAGGAATATTCAGTTCTCAATTAATTTTGGAATGGGCGTCATTCAGTGCTGTTTTTCTGTTTTTCTTCTCTGCTGAACACCTCAAGGGAAGACCTTCGACAGCTGTTATTTGCATAGTTTTCCTAGAAAAAGTCTGTGAAATGATCTTGATGTGTTGACAGTCCTATCCAGCTGTTCCTCTGGGCTCCTGAGCAATAACAGTAAGGTAGTGCGAGAACAGAGAGGGACGGTCTTATTGCCATCTTAGGCGGTGAGCTGCTTAAGGTTTATATTGGTAATATGAACACTACATGCAGATCCAGATAAACCTCATGTAATGACCAGTGCAGTTAATGGGGAATTATTCTTTTTTCCTTTTGCTTATATTGTTCACTAATCCATACATTTCCAGAAACATCTGCAAAATAATCATCTGTGTGTCTGCTCTGTTCCTAAAAGGACTTTGCTTCACTTTCCTTTACCTTTCTTTTCCTTCTAGTTAGTGAGTTCAGAAACAACATGTACAGTACAGTGAGGGCTTATTAAAGCCTGATTTGGCAGGTGGGGAATGCTAAGGTGTAGCAGCGCACCGTGGGGAGAAGAATTACTTCAATTAATTCACACAAAAACTTATTTTGTGAGTTTGTGTTCAAGCTGTGATCAGCTGACCTGTGATGCTGCTGCTGTGAGATGCTCAGAGTTTGAGCAGATGTTTCATAAGCTATGGGGCAGGTTTCCAACCCTAGACTGTATAAAGCAAGAGTAAGAGGTGAAATTCAGTGAGTGAATCTGATCTGTATATTTTTTGGTAAACTGATGTTATTACCCTGGTTGTAACCTAACATAAACCGTGAACATCACTGCGACCTTTACCACAGTACTGCATATTGACCAGCTTAACCTGCACTAAAGTGTACCAAACTGCCTAGTACAGTATTTTCATGGAACTTTTAAATCCACTGCATAATTAGTAAGCTTAAGTTTCTTTTGCATGACATTTCACAAAAAACCTAATTCAGCAGCACATCATGCACAGATTAAAGATCTAATTTAAAAAGTTGAAAGTGAATTAGGACATTACATGCTGGAGTCCTTGTCTTTGTCGATAATCTCTGATCGTTCCTCTCTGTTCTCTCTCTCTTACATCTTTATCTCTGAGATGGCATTCATTAACTTTTTTTTTCTCTCTCGGGAAATACAGCAAATGTACATTTAACTAGCAGACAAACTGTGTGACAAACTGTGCAGAAACAAGTTGTGTGTTTGGTGATACTTGTTGCGTTATTTTAAAAGCTGAATTTAAAATAACCTGCCATTTAAAGAAATGCCAAAGTACCACAACTGCAACTTCAGTTACATCTGCACCCTGAATGCGTCACGAGAATGAGAAAAGGAATGTGTTGAGGGCGTATGTAAACCTGCGATATTTTTATTGTTGCTGAGCAATGCTGTCCATGCTGTCACTGGAAGCCATGTCAGGTTGTAACACGTGAAAATATCACATAACACATATGTGAAAGTAATATTTATTAACCTGCCTGTCAGACTTGATGGCTCATCAATAGAACGTGTTGGAATGCTAATTCCAGTCAACTTTAACCCAATTACAGTACTGTAAAACAAATTAAAAAAACAAACACATTAAGAAAGTTTCATGCCATGGTAAGACTTGCATTGTGACTCATTTATTTATCTGGTTTTATACTCACATGCTACTTTTCTGGCCTTGGCTAAGAAATGGCATATTAACCAAAAACATGCTACACATAGCAGCAAACACTAAAATCTGCGAGAAAGTGTGTAGATTAAATGAAACAACTTTGAAATGAACCGATACTAAGATTTGCATGACACTGACTCAATCTTCAAATCTCCCTCTTTAAATGTTGTCCATCTGTGGTCCAGTTACCCAGCTGAGACACTCTAGATAAGCACGTCCTGTAGTCCAAAGAGTGTCTTCCTGCATCCAGAATAATCACACAGGTGCAAACGCAGGACTGTCAGCTTCCTCCCTTTGAAAATGATATTGTGGCTACATTTGCACCTCTACTGGCTTTGTGCCTGCATAAATATAGAGGACCTTACTCTTTCCAGTCCAGCTGCAATAGCCTTGCTGTCTGCCATCTTCATGCTGTCTGACATTTGGATGCTTTGCCCTCCACGCACCTAACTGGCTTACTCTGTTTGGTAGGATGAGCCGAAAGAAACTTTGCTTGTTTTTTGTTGAAAATAAAGTATTTTACGCAGCTGTAGTGTACTTTATAACAGAAAACAGTCACTGTGGTTGCAGTGACTTTGTCCCTGACCCCCATCCCCCCACCCTAGATCCCCCTTTAAAAAAAACAGAAAGTCTCTTTCTGATCTGGAACATAAAACACTGTCAAAGAGAAGACGCCATCCTCTATCGCTGCGTACCAGAACCACCCACTCCTTTAAGCTTCGTAAATGTCAGCTTGAATAACGTCAGACCTTGATGAAGAGTGAACATCTGAGAATCACTTTAAGAAGGTGTGATGAGGTAAAATAGGGTTAAAAATACCGTCAAACGCATTAATGGTTTACATTTGTGAATCATGTTGTGAATTAATTATGGCATCTGTTGATTTTCTAGTGTTTAGTCTGATAGAGCTGCATGCAGTTAGGTGAGGGAAAATATAAAGAAAATATAGGAAATGGTTGCATCTAGGGGACATTAACTGCACATGGGAAAAACAAATAAAATAGAATAAAATTAGTAGAAATTTAATACTAAAATTATTAAAAATGAAACTATTTCTTAGCTATTACCTACGATAATTCCATTTTGTGCCTCTTGTGGGCAGACTCGCTGGTATGGCAAACCTTTTTAGCAAACAGTTAGTTATTTACACAGGCGGGAAACAGGGAACAACATTATGATTCATTTGGAGTCATATTGCTGTCCACCTGGGAAATGGAAGTCAAATATATCCCCTTTGGTTTTCGGTCCTTTATAACTCCTGATGGAAACAGCTCAGAGGGTTTAATACAGACCCAGAAATTTGGTTCAGGATGCTTCAAGTCACCTTATGTGACTTTTTGCTTCAATACCAGGGAGATAAAAAATGGATTTTATGTTTAAATATGTAACAAAACAACAAAGACCTAAAAAAAATTAAAAAGACTGTTGCCAAGTAATACAGAAAAAACAGCAAAGTCATTAAAACTCCCATAGGCTTAAAATTCACTTAGCTGCAGTCTCGCACTGACACTAATAGATTCCTAGCATGCAATGAGAGATGGCATGAGCAAAACAGAGATGAGGCACTGTATATCCGAAGGCTTATCACTATTCTGCACAGATGTGGCTTGTGTGCGTGTCCAACTTGATGCCTGCTGATGTATAAATGGTGTTCTCTTCTTTGTATATTCTTCAGGTGGCTGTGACAGGGGCACCCCCGGGGCAGGACCCATGAGGAGTCATAGAAGATGCTCACAGCCTGGGCGCTTCTGCTCTTCTTAGCCATGTGGGTGAGAAGCACCTTTGGTGGCCCGCTCTCCTTTCGAATAGGTAAATTGCAAAACATAATGGCTTCCACTCTATACAGTGCATGCTTTTCATTCTACTTGAAATATCAGTGAATGAGTGCATTTAAGCTTTTAATTGTTGAGTGGGAATTGACATTTTGTTGCTTCAGAGCTGTCAGCTCAGATAGCTGGATATCCTAATCTTTGCAGTCTCCACAGTCTCGATAAAACTGGCTGGAGGAATTCAATCACAAATGTTGAAAAGTAGCCATGTTTCCTCACATGTCTGTAACACATGGCCTGAGGTATCAACAGGCTACAAAATTAATGTGTGAATGTGACACAGTCCTAATTGTCTGTAAGATACTACAGAACTACAGTCTATAATCTATAGTTGTTTTACAGTCAGCCACACAACAGTTAATGCACCATAGACTTTCATGACAACATTATAGTTTAAGAGTATCTGGCTGGTACAAACTTAATACTATATACTGTTTACTGTTTGCTGTTGTTTACTGTGTATGCTGTGTACAGTGATACAGTATAGCTTTAAGCAATTAGCCACTAAAGCAAGCTTAGACCCAAAACAAACCTATTATTCTAACTCTGCACATACCCACCCTTCCACCTGCATATTAAACGAAATTTAAGATGCATAATTAGACGCGTGTCAGCTGACCTATCAGATACATTGATTACCTCTCTGTTTATTGCAGCTCTTTTAAATATTTAACTATAAAAGTAATCTGAGCATAGCAAAAATCTGACTCTTATCCTAATCTTGCCCTTTTTTCACTGTTGTAAGCGGCACTTGCAACTCTGCAACTATTTTGACTGTGACTGTTGGGACTGTTGAACAAACATTTTAAAGCAATTGCTAAAATCTAGCAAAACCACTGCAGTACTGTGGTTCTGGAAATAGTGGCTGATCGGTGGACCAAGACTAGATTTTTCACTGGAGAGTCTGCTTCAAAAGTCACATAAACTGCTAGAGTATGCTGGTAACCGATGGAGGTTGGTCCATCTTGTTATTATTCTCCTACAGTCAGCAGCTCTCTGACTCCCTGTCACTTGCTCCCCGTCTACCAAAAGTGTGATTGACTGTCTCTTCATTTATGTATAGAACCCTTGTCTAAGGTTGGAAACGCTTGTTCGTGTGTGTGTGTGTGTGTGTGTTCCTGTCTAGCTATCTTTGTGAGAACCAACAGTCACTTGTGAGGACACACAACCCGGTCCTCACAAATTTGAAGGCATTTAAAGGCCTTTTCTGAGGATCAAAATGTGGTTTTAGTGTCAAGGTTACAATTAGGTTATGGTTAGGTTTAGGGTAAGGGTTAGGGTTAGGCATTCATTTTTAACAGTTAGAGTTAGGGTAAGGAGCTAGGGAAAGCATTATGTCAATGAAGGTCCTCACTAAGATAGCTGAACGGGGTTGTGTGTGTGTGTGTGTGCACTACATATAGAAATTAATAGTATTAATAGTGAAACTGAGAAAGAGATTCAGAATGACATTGATTCTGCGCCTCCCAAACTGTTCCCTGCTGTGATTTCTCAGTGGTCAGCTTTCAACTGTTCTTTTAACAAGAACACTTGAAAGTGAGATCTGTGTGCAGGTTAGAAGGGTGCAAGTTAATAGCACAGAAGCTGTGTACAAATAGCCATGTGGTTATATTAAGACTATTAAAAAAAACAAATAAATCCAAAGGGTGCATTAAAAATAAGAGTGCCTCTTTAGATGATGTACAAATGCAATTCTAATTGTTCAGAAGAAAAAAAAAAGAAAAAAGCTCATGGCTGATAAATGCACATCCTTTCTTGATCTTTTGTCTTTTCCCTTTACTTCTCTTGTGTGTAAAAGTCTTTTTATCTTTCCAGTATTTTGAACCTTGACGAAATGGAATCAGTTCAAACTGTCATTTTTGAGCGCTATCACCATCTCTTATTTTTGAACAAGGCATTTATGTATCACTCACTGTTTTTCTACCCTGTCTGTTCTGTCTCATACAGTAGCTCTGTCACAGCACATCTGCTGTTTGCAGAATTTTTTGCTGGATTGTCACATAATGCCCCAAACCATTTTCTGTATTTTGAAAACAGCAGAGTTTCAGAGTTTACTCTATCAACACAACCAAGAACAAATAATTCCTTGTTTGTGAATATCATCTGAGAAGTAGCTTGCAGCCGCATGCCTTTTCTTTCTCCCAGTTTTCCCTACCACCCTCCACCTGATTGTACCAGCTCCACAGCAGTGGTGGTTTATATTTATCTCAATGTTGCATCGTTGATGGATAATTAGGTGCTTGGCCTGTTTTTGTACATTTCTTCTAATGTCATCTTTGCACAGAACCCCATTCATTGCTAGTTTATTCCAGTACAAGGCATAGATATGCAAAAGTACAAACACACAGCCACATATACACGTTTCACAACCCACAGAGACACACAAACAAACACATAACCCAAAACACCACTACAACTCTGCCATTTGAGCTGCAGGAGATGGTATTTAACATGGCCGTCCCTAGAGTCCTGCCTGGCTGGCATAATGTCACTGTCTGGCCTTCTCTGAATGTGTGAGTGCCAAAAACAACCTCCAGTCCCTCACACATTACCACCAGGACCAGCTAGCAGCCAGCAGCAAGCTCAGTGTAGGTGAACTGAGGAACTTCTCTTTGTGTCTGCCATGTTCTTAGCAAATCCAGGGATTAGGATCTACTTTTGTTTGTATATTAATTAAACCATGTGATGCAAAGTAAGTCTATTTACTTCAATTTTGATAAGGAAACATGTCTTCTGGCATTTTTATTGCTGCCTTGTGGTGGGGAACGAATTATGGGATAAACAATGTTTAAGTTGCAGTGGAGTTGCGATATCAGCCTGGGAAAGTACAAATAGATTTTCCTTCATTGTTCCTTTTAAAAAAAATGAAAGTAATGACAAGTGAAGCCTTAACCAAATAAAAGAAATAAAAGAGGTGAAATCAATCGCCAAAATACAATTATAAAAGAACAAAATGAGAAAACAAGAAGACAAACTGCAAACACTGCCTAAAAATGCTGGTTTACTACCATATGGTGCAGCTTGTTGCTGTGGGTGGTATTCAGCCATTAGTTAAGTGAAAAAGTGTCTCCTGTGTAATTCTGTTCAGCTAATAACTTGGTACTTATGCTTATTTCCAGACAGTCATCTTCTAAACACACATTGCTGTTATGAGCTGGTGTCTTCTTTTTGTAATACTGAGATTTAAAATGTAGAAAAAAAAGAAGAGCTGAGCTATTCAGGACCAGTGCAACTTCAATTTCAACAAAGTCCCTAAACATCTAGCTGGGTTTATAAAGAAATTTAATCAATGCCTCAATATAACCCATGAATAATGACTGCATACATCAACATAAGGCTTAGCTCATGGACAGTGCTCTTTTTGAGCATAAGTTAAGATGAATGAAATCAAAATGACAAAACTGATAAAATGAAAAGGAACTTACTGAAATAAGCTGAAGTCTCTTTGTGTCTTGAAATGAGAAAGGTCTTTTAATGCTGTCTCTATTATCTACTACCCAGGTAGGACTAATGGGGAAATTATGGTTCAGCAGTGGTGTCATGTGGGCAGTCTGTTGGCAGTCCATGGGCAGCTTTGCACTGCCTTTCTACCTGCAGAGAGTGTCTGTTGTTAGATTGGGGGCAGAGCCAAAATATGTGGTACAATTTGTCTACAAGCTACTCTTTCTTCTGCTGTTGTTGGTCCATCAGCCAGCTGAGACAGAAGTTCTTACATCTAAAGAGCTGAAGTGAAACCAAGTGAAAAAAGAGTGTCCACTGTAGTCACTGTCTGTGCTTTCTTTTTCTTTTCTTTTTTTTGGGCAAATCTCAGCCTTTCACCAATGCATGGCGAGCACTGTGCAGTTGTGATTTTGGAATATTTTGATGGAGAACTTTAGTGGCAGCTGACCACTTGCCCCAAAAGGTTCTCCTCAGGAAAATACCTCCACGAACAGACACAACCAAGGTACCATAAATTAAGCATTACAGTGCATAGCGCTTATCTGAAATCCAAAGGAATGGCTTGACACACTTCTACACATCTTCTATGATAATATCATTGGCTATACCATTTTAAAGACCATCCTGTATCTCCCTGGCTTGGCCTACCATCAGTGGTTCTTCAGAATCTTTTCTTCTAGTTCAAAAACCAATCAGGATTTCCCAGCACTAAGAACTAGTCCTCACAGTTCAGGGCCAGGATGTCTTTGTTGTGGTCTGTCACCATCACAGAGCAAAACCGTTACACGATTAGAGGCAGTAATCTCACCAGGAAGAGGCAAACACACTTCCTGTGCATAAGGTCGTGTCGCACATAAACCAACCTTACAGCAGCCCCGAGAACATAATGTGAAACAGCTCTAAATGATTAAAAACGGGTTTTAGTAGCTCTGTCTTTCACGTGGATTTCGCTACAATTAGAGCAATATTCAACAACACTACCAACATTGTCTTGCCCTGCAGAGACTCTCCATTCTGGCTGGTTTAATAGGAGAATATGAAAGCAAATTATCCGCTCCTCATACATGAACATGCGACATAAACAGTATTTTTTATATATGCTCACTTTTTTTTATTGGTGCTTTATTTTATTAAGTCACTTTGCATTATATGAAAAAAAGTATTAAGCCACACTTAAGGTATTTTCAGAGCCATTGCTACAGGTGTATGAAATGAAGAGCATCTAGCTATATAGATGCTCTTTACAAACATTTTTGAAACAGTAGGTCATTATAAAGTGCTCACTGACACTGAGCATGGTATAATAACATGCCACCATTGCAACCATTGCATTGTATGTAAAAGTAGCTGACGATCTGCTGGATCTAACTGCTTCTCTGGCATTAATATCAGCACAAACACTGCGCTGGGAGCTTCATGGCATTAGTTTCCATGCTTGAGCAGTTCCTGTAGGTGTACTACAGGAGTACTATATGTACACTGTACTCTTTTATGATGTGGTTTTCTGAGGTGGCAGCATCTCTGCTGGGGACAGGAAGA